TATATATATATATATATATATATATATATATATATATATATATATATATATATATATATCTCAAAACTCCAAAAGAAAATCTTTTAAGATAAATCCAAATTTTAAGCCCACAAAAAATCACGAAAAAGACAACTCGAAGTTGTCTACGGCCAGTGTTTTGTGTTTCTTCCGTGCCAGTCTCAAACACTGTGTTGGAAAATATAATCGGAGAATAATTCATATTTTCTTTTGAATATGTGAAATGGGTCGCGAAATTAAAAGAAAAAACCAATGAAATAAAATGCATAGGGCCTTTAAATAACATCTTCCATCGTGTTCGTGCATGTTACTCGTGTTTGTTGTCCTTATTCCAATCGATATCAAAGAAATCATTCCAAGCGAAGCTGATAAGGAAATTGCCATTGTTTAGGTTGATCGATGCAGTCAACGTAGAATAGTCAATCAATCCTAAGAGATGGTCGGTCCAAACTCACGTGGTTCGAAGGACCAAAGAATTCTTCGGACTGAATCGTGTGATGAAGAAGAAGAAGAAGAAGGGAGAGAAGGGCACAAACCCGTCTTCCTTCATGCTTCCTTTTTCTCCCTTAGCCATTGCCATCAGTTTGGGCACGTAGTTTTCTGTCATCATAAGCGGCTTATTCTATAAATAATATAGAATTTAAGGATCGATATGTACGGAATTGATAGAAAAATCATATCTACGATGGGAATCAGTCACTCATCATCGTCGGAAAAAATTGGGGATTGCCTATATGCTGCCTCTATTATAGATTGTTATAAATCATCTATTATGGGAGGAGGACTTTTGTGATGGCTGAGAGTGAGTTGGGCAGTCTTGAAATCCCATAGGATAATAAAAAATCAAAAGAATATATAAATATTAATAATAATAAAAAATATTATAAAATCAGATTTAAAATGTTTTGAAAATATTTGTCAAGATAATACGACCCTTAGATTATTATCACTCAAACACAATCACAATCCTTTTATATATTCTGTAGCATAAACTTCAAATAATTTATAAAAAAAAAAATTATACTTTTTAGAAATCTTATAGAGCACCCTCTAGATATCATTTAAAAAAATTTTATTTGATTTGTGAGCGAATCATCATCGAATCCAAAAATTATAGTGAAGTTGATTTACAAGAAAAACTAAATTTATCTTCTTTTTTTTTCTCTTCCCATCATTCATAGTATTACTACGAGCAATTGATTAGGGACAAAAGAGAGATGAGAGAACATATATAATTTCTCATTAATCAATTTTATATGACCAAGGAAAGATGAGAGAAAGAAGATCTATAATCTCTCAATAATATCACATATCATCGTCTCCTCTAATCTGTGTGTTTATTTATAGATGAGAATGATAAGTACTTATGAGGGTCCATTCCATCAAAATCACTTTATAAAAAAAAATATCATAAATAAATTTTTTTATTAACCGATAACTATAATCAAAATATAATTATATTCATAATATATTTTATATAATTATATAACATCACATAATCTAGCAAAGGTGTATATATACATTGCTGAACTAGAGAATCTGAAAGACTGAGCTGAGCTGAGCTGAGATGAGATAAAGTGGACTGTCATCCGAGGGATGGGACTTGATGAGATGATTAAACCAAAGCAAAGCATACAGGAGTGGTCTCTCTCCCCATATGAAGGTTAAACTAAAAGAAAGTATTTGCTGCGAGGGGATTTCAGCGTCACTTTACGTGGAACATTCAGCTGACATCACAACTATCTTTAACTGTTCTCTTCTTTTTGACGTGAGTGGTAGAGTGTGTGTGTGTGTGTGTGTGAGAGAGAGAGAGAGAGAGAGAGAGAGAGTGACCAAATACTCAAATCTCCCCTTACGAACTTGGTCTAGTAGGAACTGGTCATTTCTCAACTTGTGATCCACTTTTGCTGTAAATTGCCCAAGAAGAACCATGCATCTCAGATGCAAATTTGAGTGCATGCTTGCTTGCTCACTAGTTGCATTGTCTCTCCAACATCCCTTTTAATTCATCTGAAGAACCTTCATTTATGTTTTATCAAGCTTACAACCATGAAAGTGAAACCATGCAAACCAAGACGAAGCATTTGATGTAGTCTTGGGAGCTTGAGAGTTGAGAAGCTTGACGAGCAACCTTTGGCTTGCACACATCGTTGTCTAATGTACATCTCCCGTCACCCTTTCACATTGCCATGGCAAGCTCGTGAACTTTTCTTGCTGCTTTTGGACGCCGGCAACCATTGCGAGGTTGGCACTCAAAGGTCCGATCCCAACATCGCCAGCAGCAGTACTGCTATTCGTTTGCTTTATCCTTCTCGCCATTCTTAAATCCTTAAAGCCATGTGAACCATTGCAGTCTTTCTGATGCGTAGAACATCCTAAGCGTACAACTCGTTAGAAGATCCATAAATTAATGTTGATCGAAAGTCATTTTGAGTCGTCAAATTCTGATCGAATCCCCTTCGTTCTGAACTTCTAAACGATACAACCTGTCGACGAAGAGATCAAAGATAAAAGGAAAAGCTTATCCACCTTAAAGAGAAGCTAAGTATCCAGATTGACTGTAAGATTGTCAAAAGCATGCTGAAACATTTGTGATGATATATAAATTAATCTTGTTGATTATGTATGTGATTTAAATGATATCAAATTCATAATCCTCGCTCTCGATGTCTAAGTTACGGAAAATATTGTGTCATACAATTAAACTTATCCTTCAATATAAGTTATGGTGGAAACACATTTGCATGTGTATATGTATGTGTGTGTGAATGTGACATGAATTCGTCAAAGATGGAAAATTCCATGCACATGTCGACTGCGTACTTTACATGGAGTGCTGACTAGACATGGACGACTGGAGCCCACCGCAAATCCAACGATGACGCGACACGTGCCAGAGACAGCCTTGAGGCAGCAAAGACAAGAAGAGAAGCTTGCGATCTTTGTAGCCATGGATGCAAAGTCCTCAAAGAAAAGAAGAGAAAAGAAAAGGAAAAGAAAAAGATGGCCAAGAGCTTCTCAACGACGACGATATCCCATCAATCCATTCCCCGAAAGATCATAAAGAAAAGGAAAACAACTCCTCAAATGGCAGTATAAAACCCTGAACATGGACTGCTTCCTTTCCCCTCCTCCTCCTCTCCTCCTCCCTCTCTCTCTCTCTCTCTCTCTCTCTCTCTCTCTCTCTCTCTCTTGCTGAAGAGAAGGCAGGTCTTGTTCTCAGATTGGAAGGAAATGGCACCAGTCACGTTGCCTCCAGGCTTCCGGTTTCATCCCACCGACGAAGAGCTCGTCGGATATTATCTCAAGAAGAAGATCAATGGGCATAATCTTGAGCTGGAAATCATCCCTGAGGTTGATCTCTACAAGTGCGAGCCATGGGAGTTACCAGGTTCCCTTCTCTTCCCCTCTCAAACCTTGTTCTGCGATTCTGTGGACTTGCTTTCAACAGTCGTTGGCCAGTTCATGATCTTGCATGGTTGGCTATTCCTACACATACGTACCTCATGCAGCACTTTTAATTTGATTCCTTCATTACTTGCTCGATAGATAGTTGCTCTCAATCACTGTCGATAAGTATATTGAGTCAATCAATCGAGTAGGGAATTGGTGAGGATCTCTTCGAAGGTAAAGAGGAACATTATTTCTCCAAAGCAAGTCCAAACTTTCATCACTTTGATCACAAAATTTTCATTCTTTTAAACCTAAAGCTGAAAGCGATCTTGAACTCTGTCCCATCACAAGAAGAATAAGATCTCCCACTCTATATATCCTCCATCCCCACCCCACCGGGGTTGTTTCCCCGATCACCTTTAACTGGACCCTGCACACCTTTCGTTTCTTGGTGACGCACCATGCTGCAGTGCGTGAACAGTGAAGATATACGAGAGAAAAGGACAGACAGAGTTGGACCCAAGTCAAAAAGTGGGAAGAAAAGTTGCAGAATCCAAGAAATGATGTCCCATGGATAGGGTCCCTTTGTTGGTGGGGAATTGCCTTGGGTCTGATGAGGAATATATATCTAGGTTTCGGTGATGATGATGTCCTTAAAGTGCCTTGTATGCCAATCATGATTTGGCAATAATCTAGAATAATGGATCATGCATGGTTCCTTGTGGCTTTCTCCAGAGAAGTCCTTCTTGCCGAGCAAAGACCTGGAATGGTACTTCTTCAGCCCCCGAGATCGGAAGTACCCCAACGGATCGAGGACGAACCGAGCAACTCAATCTGGTTACTGGAAGGCCACAGGGAAGGACCGAAGAGTGAGCTCCCAAAGGCGAGCTGTGGGCATGAAGAAGACGCTCGTTTACTACAGAGGGCGAGCGCCGCATGGCTCTCGTACGGATTGGGTCATGCACGAGTACCGCCTCGATGAGAATGAGTGTGAGACGACGGCCTCCGGCTTCCAGGTACCAAAACCCTCCATCATCCCCCACCTCTCTCTCTCTCTCTCTCTCTCTCGTTTCCTGCTCATTGTTTAACGGATTCATGGATGAACGATGCAGGATTCTTATGCTCTATGTCGCGTGTTTAAGAAGAGTGCACCAGGCCCTAAGATCTTAGAGCATTATGGTTCATCTTGTAAAGGATCAACTGAGCTTTCACCAACAGTTAATGGGAATTGCTATCCTTTTCCACCTGAGATTTGCTCTTCCAAGATGGTTCAAGGATCCTCACCTAATGTAAGTGCTTCTGCAGATGTCAAGTGGATGCAGTATCTGTCACCAGAAGCATTCACCGATGCTCCTCCGTTTCTTGATCCAGCATGCTTCCCCTACATTCCATCGAAGGTAAGCATAGTTCATCCAACATAACTTTCACGTATCAATATGACTTTCAGATCCCAACCAGCTGAAGTCTGTCTAAAAGAACAAGAACAAAACTAGAATCCTTTCCTTTATCAAAGTGCCATCAAATCAACTAAAGGAGTCATCTTTTCAAAGCTCAGGTAGACATAGCCTTGGAGTGTGCAAGACTACAACACAGGCTCTCCTTGCCGCCCTTGGAAATGGATGACTTCTCACAGAACAGTCTCGCCGACTCAAACAATGCCTCGCATTTGGGTGGACATCAAGAAAGTGCAAGTCAAGCGGACGTCGTTTTGCGAGAGATCTTATCGGTTGCCTCGGCATCTCAGGAGCCGACGATGTGCAGCTCCGACTACCCTAATGTATTTGCTGGAAGCAGTACTCACTTCGATGAATTTGCATGTCTGTTGGGACTTGAGAGAAGAACAGAAGGCATGCCTTTTCCTGAAATAAACGACTTCGGAGAAGAGTTGAAGGAAGAGCATAAGACAGCGGAGAGTTCAACAGATGTAAGAATCAGTGAACTATCTGTATAAATCAGGACTAACCATACTGCTTGCCTTCTCATATATGATTTGGTTCTGTAAGCAGATAGATTTAGATGATCGACGCAGTATATTTGAAGGTTGCAGATATATTGCTTTCGAAGATTCGCTATTCTATCATTAAACCAGTCCAGGATGGGTTGCAGGAGGAGAAGCTGATCATATCTACTAAGATGGCTACATATCGAGCCTTTGCGTTTGAGAGATTAGAAGTACATGTCGATGGTTTTAGCAGGTTTCAGGCGCACAACCTCATGAAGAACAGCAAGGCTATACCAAGTCACGTAAACGCTCCCTCTTAATCCACCCATAGAACACGCAGTGGCATGCCGCAAGTTGCTTCAGTTCTCATCTCAGGGAAGACGATCCATCAAAGATGTCAAAGACATAGAGAAGGGAAACCCTGATATTGCAACCAAGAAAAAGATGGAAGCACATCAACATCACTGTTGTTGTGCTTCAGAGACTAACCATTAACCTCCGCAACTAGCATTTCCTTGCAGGAAGATGACATTTGATCTTGTGCTTTTTTACAAATGCACAGTTAATTATGGATTTGCCTCTGACAAGGCAAATTATTACACTACCACTGTAATCCAAATCCTCGTTGTTGGCATTCAAACCTAAACTTACGTAGTAGTGATTGATAAGGGAAATATCTTCCAATCAGGGGTTGACACTTGGCAGTTCAATCGGTGATACCACCTCTGTCCCCATCCCAAAATAATTTAAATAAAAAAAAAAATGCTTTATCCATATTCCGAACCCAAATCCAAAATATAATATTTGAGGATATTAAAAAAAATTAAATTTTTATTTATATCTGTAAAACTTGTTTAGTGTATAAATCATTCAACACATTACTTGATAATTTCATAAAGTCTAACATCAACTCAAAAATCATTAATAATCTTATATAAATCTATTTCTTGATTTATTCATGTCATTCTTACATAGGGGGCATGTTAATTTTGTCTATATCATTCTAATTTTATTGTCTCCGAATTAATTATGACTCAATCAATAACTAAGTCATATATATATATATATATATATATATATATATATATATATATATATATATATAATATAATATAATATAAAAAGACATATCAAACACTATAATAATCCAAAACAAATTTAATTTTCTCAAAATTTATATTTCGTTTGTTACTAATTTAAGTATCAAAGAGACCAGAAAACTAATACGATCTTGATCTTCGTACAGATCGAATACTTGAAACTTTTGATCAAATCTAAAAACTTCTTGAAAACATGAGTTCAAATCAAGTCGGACTAACCTAATCATCACCGACATCATTCTCTAATGTTTTGATATTAGAACATTATTCTCTTGACCAAATGCTATAACGAATATATTTTACGCTTGCCCATAAACCTTCACCCTCAAAGGCCATAATTCAAGTTACCAATTCTTGACAAAAAGATAAAAAAAAAAAAAGCTCATAAAATTATCAATTCTTGACAACTGAGTGTGAGAATTGTTGCTCAAAAAAATTATTATTAGATTATTTAGCATGCAATTGACCACAAACTCATGACATCTTGTTAATATCTTGATGCCACTCCAAATGTACAGCCACCACTTCATTGCCACCACCAATCTCCTCCACCCATTTAAACAGCCCAATCCTCTCTCGGTTCTCTTTTAGCTGCCTCTCTTCCTTCCCACCCCACTTCTGCTGCCTTTCCTGCCTTCAATTCTCTCGCCCGGAGGATCACCAAGTCAAGCAATGGCTTCTGCCGCAGTCACCGCTGCAGTTTCCCTCCCTTCCTCCAAGCCATCCCTCTCCCCTGCCTCCCTCGAGCGAATCAGCTTCCACAAGGTGAGCCCCGCACGTCAATCGTTCCTCAAAGGTTGCTTGTCATGTCGTGTCATCATCCCGATCACTGCCTGATGCTGAATTCTATCAGACATGCTTGCACCCACGAAGCACCGCTGCAGCTAAAGCAGGCAGGTTGGTCACGGTCAGAGCACAGGTCACGACCGAGGCTCCTGCCAAGGTAGCCAAGGTGTCGAAGAAGGACGACGAGGGCGTCGTCACCAACAAGTACAAACCCAAGGAGCCGTACATCGGGAGGTGCCTCATCAACACTAAGATCACCGGAGACGACGCACCCGGAGAGACCAACCACATAGTCTTCAGCACCGAGGGTATCCGTTGACTCTCTGCCTTTTTTTCTGTTAGCAAGCTGCGTACCTCTGAGATTTGTTGTGTGGCTATTCGCAGGGGAGATTCCCTACAGAGAAGGTCAATCGATAGGCGTGATCGCTGATGGGATCGACAAGAACGGGAAGCCACACAAGCTGAGGCTCTACTCGATCGCCAGTAGCGCTATTGGGGATTTTGGAGACTCCAAGACCGTGAGTCTGACAACTGCATCTCTCTCAGACATTTCGTCATACAGATACAAGTGAAGCTTTTTTCTTATAAACTTTCAACCTTTGATGCGTACATGCTTGGAATGCATACTATCTTCACATCCTTAGTTCCGTTTCTCAAATTTAAGTGACTATAGTTGAAGATCATGAATTGGTTGATTGATTTTGATGGATGCATGTTTGGCACAGTCTTCATTGGATCACTTGATTGTATGACTTGATTCCACAGGTTTCCCTCTGTGTGAAGAGGCTTGTTTATACAAATGAACAAGGAGAGATAGTGAAAGGAGTCTGCTCCAACTTCCTATGTAAGGATTGATATTAGTACTACTCCAAAAAGCTTTCCCTAAATTGACTTGATTTAAGTTTGATGGTTGTTCTGCTAATATGTTTCAGGTGACCTCAAGCCTGGTGCTGCAGTTAAGATTACCGGACCAGTTGGGAAGGAGATGCTTATGCCTAAAGATCCCAATGCAACTGTCGTAATGGTACATATGATAGCATGATGCAGACAGTTCTACTTAATCTAACATGTAAATTTGCATGTCCTTATTGGGACTTCTTCATTGCAGCTTGGAACAGGGACTGGTATTGCTCCTTTCAGAGCATTCCTGTGGAAAATGTTCTTTGAGAAGCATGAAAACTACAAGGTAATGTTGCTTCCTGTATGATGTGTTAAGAAGAGTAATTGAAATCTACTAGTGAGATTAATCAGCCATATGTAAATGACCTGTATCAATTGGAGCACTTGATTTGCACATTGATATCTGTCCTTCCATTTGATTCTTTGGGAAAAGTTTAAGAGAGTTTGACTGATAAGGTGTCATGCAGTTCAATGGACTTGCATGGCTCTTTTTGGGAGTTCCTACAAGCAGCTCTTTGCTCTACAAGGAGGTGAGACTGTAACACGCTTTGATGACTTCTCCTCTTCCTTCTGGTGTTCAAAAACAAATGGCCTTGCATTGCTAGCTTCTCTGCTTTGGATCTCCAGGAATTTGAGAAGATGAAAGAGTTGGCACCCGAAAATTTCCGTCTAGATTTTGCTGTCAGCAGAGAACAAACAAATGAAAAGGGAGAGAAGATGTACATCCAGACTCGTATGGCACAATATGCAAGTGAGCTGTGGGAGCTACTGAAGAAGGACAACACCTTTGTGTACATGTGTGGATTGAAAGGAATGGAGAAGGGTATTGATGATATCATGGTTTCCTTGGCTGCCAAAGATGGTAAGATGTGTGGCTTGATCTCAAAGAGAAAGAAGAAAACTTGAGTAAACTTGATATCAGTTTCCTGATCCTTTGTTTTAATTAACAGGCATTGATTGGCTGACCTACAAGAGGGAACTGAAGAAGGCAGAACAATGGAATGTGGAGGTCTATTGATGCATTTTGTTGCAACCTATCTCTCTTCAAAAACCAACCTTCATCATATGCTATACTTGATGTAGATAACAAGTTGTCTTGTGTTCTGTGTTATGTCCTTGTAGTTTTTAACTATTTTAGTTGCCCTCCTATTCTGTGAAAAGAAACCACAATTTAATTTCTGTGGAATTCTTGTAACCAATCAACTTCACTCTTGTGTTGGTCATATTTTTTGAGGAGAGATATATATGATCTTTTTGCATGAAACCTTGCTTCTCTTTGGTACTTGAAGTCTACTAAGCTTGACATGTCAAAGTCTTAGAACAAGATGGTTGCATTTTCCAGCATACATACATCTAACAGGATCAGACAGCCAAAGGTGTTGAAATTTAGCCTGTGAAAGCTTGCCACATCTTTTAGCTGAGAGTTTGGATTGTGCTTAACTAGTTAGCCAATCTCCCAAAGACAAATTATACACTGTGGGCTTTACACAAGTGCCTCACATGGGAGCTTCTTGGCTCCATCAGGCCCAGTCTGACTGCAAAAAATAAAGACTTTTCCCTTAAATACATCACATAAAGAGTATTTTGTGGAAAATAATAACATCTACATGCTGAATGTTAAAAATGAGTTGCTCTCTTTTGTATTCTTATATAAACTCCTTCCATCTATTCTGACTAACATTTGTGGAACATAAGTACATGTTGGTATAGTCCAGTCAATTTATCAGTAGCAAAGGGCTGATAAGCTCAGAGCATAGGCTAATAGAGTAGTAAAAATAATGTTTTGATGTGATCTTTGATTATATTAGACATATAATAAGTGATAATTACTAGAAAATGAAGACACTAAGGATCCCATATTTTCTTATGGTTGTTAGATAGAACTCAGGAAGATTATGCTGGAGAAGTTTCATTTCATTAAACTAATCAGTTTCACTTCTTTTTGTCAAATACCAAATCCTTCTGTTGCTTAATAATTCTGATACATGGGTTGCATTTGATGCCTTCAACCATACTGTGCACTCACAAGCAAGTTAATCCTAACCTTACCAGGGTTGGCTGCAGTCTTCTATCCATCCATCTCTGGCAGCAAGGAGAGCATTAAGAGTGTTTCTTAACCTCCTAAATCAGTGGATTTGTGCAAGAAAGCTTTACATCCTCTGAATTTAATCTCTTTGTTAAGGCTATTGAATCACTTTCAGGTGACACTTTGTGCAGCCAAACATCTCTGGCAAACTCCAATCCAAAATTGCATATACTTCAGCAGAAGCCACATCTGCATCCTGATTCCTTCACCCAGCCATAGCTTCAAGAAGATGACCTCCATGATTCTGGATCACCACACCCTTTCCACTTTTCTTTCTTTCCATTTTTTTTATATAATATAATAAAAAAATAAAAAAAATCACTATTTTGTGAAACAAAACAATCATTTACAGATTCTAAAACTCATCAACATGGCTGATGAGTCTTTCCCTTTCAAGATCAGCAGCAGATGTCAACCCCATCTGCAGCAATGAAAGGTGCTTCTCAACTCTTCACCTTTGTCAAGTTTTAATGAGAAGCACAAGCCATGTTTGATACAGAAACCTGCAGGATTAGGTTGACCATTGGAAACTCCACACTGGGGTGAAGGTTCCTTGCAAACCTAACCTGTGCCACCTGGTGTTCATGACTGAGGGATTGAATACATGCTCATGATGCAATGTATGAATGATTGGATGTTCCTTTGGAGTGGTGGCAAATGTAAAAGAGACATGTTTTGGCAGCTCATCAGGAGATGCAAATTGAGATATAAACTCGAATGGCATCCGATAGATAAGAGCAAAGTCATGGCAGCTCATCAGTAGATATAATAAACATTTGTGTGGGATCCAGTG